ATCATCATTCGCCAATACCAATATAATTCAAGATCTACAATAGATGCGCACAGGAAATTATGCATCAAACAACTGCTATCAAAGAGATCATTTCAAATGAAAAACGATGGGAGAAAGGTATGGGTGTGGAATGTGGAGTGTAGGTGTATCTGTGACTGTGAGTGAGATAATCAGCAAAACCAGACTCACAGGGTGTGGATGGGTGTAGGTGTGGGTGTGGGTGTAGGTGGGGCAAGGGAGAAACAGCAGACTTTTGTACTTCAAGTACTTTGCATTACTATGAGCTACTTTAAGCTTACTTCAAGTAGAGAACTTTGAAGTACTTTTCAACTTCAAATTTACTTGAGGTTACTTGCAATTACTTCAAGCTACTTTAAGCTACTTTAAGCTTACTTCAAGTCTACTTCAAGTAAAGTACTTTGCCGTACTTTTCTACTTCAAGTCTGCTGCTTCCTCCTTGCGCTGAAGATTATCTCAATCGATCACGTAAGTCGAACGTGTTTTGGACTGCTAACGAGATTCGACTAGTTGAACGATTTCCTAGAATATGAATATACAAAATTTTCCAAAGTTTAGATTGATTTGTAGTAGTTCAAGGAACTAATATATACCACCAAAAATCTATTTTATTTTGAGTAGTCAACAAAGTTATACGATGCAGACTTCAAAATGACTTGAGATGGTCTGCCGACAGGGATCTTTTTTGAAAGAAATTCTTGTCGTTGCTTTAGTGCTTGTATACATTGTTCTAATAGAACATGTTGAAAAAATCTCTTCGTAATAGTTGAAATGTATGAATGAATCTTTCTCGGTCATGATCATCGAGACAGGAGCAAATGTAATTATTTAATAGGTCATCTGTGGGTAGCTCGCGGTGATGATAAAATAGCACTGCATCATTTTCGGAAGGCTTATGAAACATGATCAAGAATGTTAGTCGCGAAACACCCAGATCGGAACATGTGTCTAGTGGCCATGAGTAAACTTCATTGGAGACAAATTCGTCGCTGAATGAAAAAGCAAATGCTTCGGAGTGAGACCTCAAGAAATTATTTATGATAAAAAGCCTTTCACATAAGTATGAAAACTTCAATAAAAACCAGCTATTCTTGAATAAAATGTGAGCATAATGCTGTATGATGTGAAACGAGCTTCCATGGAGTCTATTGTGTTGAAAGACTTTTTCAACAAGTAAATTGTATATATTTTATCAAGGCTCAACATAATATTTGTCAAACGAAAAACAAGAAAATGTCTACGCCTAGATATTTCTAACTCTGAATGATTACGGTGCAAAATCCTAAGTGTGATGTATCAATGACATTTGACGTCATTTGATATCTGTCGTTTAAAAGAAACTTTGTCCTAATGTTTATTCATTTTCTTTTTATCAGTACAAATAAAACGAGATAATTTATTTTGCGTGTGTGACTAAAAAATAAAACACTATTTGTGATGCAGCTTATTGAACTGTTGTTACTATTCTCGCTACCACATATCATTTACCAACAGGAATATCATAAAATTCCACTTCGTTTCGATGTGGCAATTAATCGACTTCTTCAACGTCATTATTATACATCTCACGAGTTTGACTATGAGTCATATAGTATCAAACCGTCAGAAATCCACAAATTCATCTTGCACATGTCTAATAGCAATGCAACAACACAGTGTGAACAAGACTTTTTAATTTTAGTTGAAGCAGCTTTAAGTCGTGATCTATGGGCACTTAAACTCTTCGACTCATGGGGTAAACCCTTGCCATCTGGTGTGCTCAAAGGAAATATGCTGTGGACAGGTAATTATAATGAATGTCTCGATTCATTATATCAACCAGCGAACAAAACTTTCTTATCACAACCGTTTGTTGAGCAATATTGTAAGTTGATAAGACTCATTTTATGAATGTACAATTGAGAGATATATTAATGTTGTGTTAGGTATTCTATCTCCAAATGAAACAATATTAGAAGGAACGATATCTTCTGGACTTACTCTTGGCATTTGTGTGCCTTCATCGTGTGATCGTCAATCTATTGTTAGATTAGCTCGAAATTTATTCAAAAAAGATAATATTACCGAAAATAATCTTCTCTGTTCGAATGATGCTGCCAGTAAACAAAAGAATCTGCCTCGTGGTGTAGTGATCACATGTGTCGTTCTCTCGCTACTTGGTCTTCTCGTGTTCATTGGTACTATTGTTGATCTGATTCTTGCTTGTCGTTTTGAATCAATCAATCCTGTTTCATCACACATCAATGGATACAATGTCATATCGGATATCGGACCGACCAACAGTAAATCGATAATATCATCGGGATATTTATGTTTTTCTATTCAAACTCTTTTGAGTGCAACACCTCAAAGTATATTCATTGCTCAATTTTCGGCTATACGTACATTACGGCGTATTTTTACTATGGAAAAGAAAGATGACGAAAATTCGCTGGCTTTTATTCATGGTCTTCGTGTACTTTCTCTTTTCTGGGTTATTTTCGGTCATTCAATTTTATTTAATCTATTCTATACAAATAATATTATCGATGTTCTTTCTTGGTCTCATAATATAGCGTTTCAATTAATTTCTAACGGTGTGTTGAGTGTAGATACATTTTTCGTAATCAGTGGTTTCTTGACAGTAATTACTTTTGTTCGAGAAATTACGAAAGAAAAACTTTCCTCTCGTTTTCTCATTCGTTATTACATTCATCGATATATTCGTCTTACGCCGACGTTTCTTCTTGTTTTGCTTATCAGCATCAATTTAACAGCATATTTTGGTCGCGGACCTATTTATCCATCTATAGAAGGATTCGAATCCGAGGGATGTCGACAGCATGGTTGGTGGACAGCCATACTCTATGTTGGCAATTTAGTTCATGTCAATGATATGTGTCTAGGTGTTTCATGGTATCTTTATAATGACATGCAATTTCATTGGATTGCACCTCTGGCGCTCATTCCATTCGTTATCGGTCGAAAATCGATTGGATACTTTGTTACCACCATTTATATTCTTATCGTTATTGGTCCAATTGTTGGCATTCTGCTTTATTATCCGAATATGTCATTGAGCCTTTTCGCAGATGCCACGAACTTGGTAAGTATTGATTTTGTGGTCATTTTGTTCTTATTGCTATTTAGTTTTTGTTGTTTCAACAGAATGGTCCTAGCTTTCTCAACAAAATCTACATTGCCCCATGGTGTCGTATTTCAGCTTATGCTATTGGCCTTCTAACTGGTTTTGTTCTTATCAATACTGGTCATTCATATCGTTCAAATACCTGTACGAAACTATTCGGAAATCTTCTAGCAGTTGTAGTAGGCTTGACCTGTATCTTTGTGATGTATCCAGATTATGTTCTCGTACCGGGTCTTAGCTGATCAGCACTAATTGCCTATCAAGCACTCTCTCGTCCATGTTGGGCACTCGTCATTGGATGGATTCTCTTTTTGTGTAGTACAAATCAAGGTGGAATCGTCAATACAGTTCTTTCATGGCCGATTTGGGCTCCTTTAGTTCGTCTTAATTATGCAGCTTATTTGATACATTTGATGATTTTACTGATAACAATATACAATCAAACGATGCCTATATACTGTCAACCACATATGATTCTGAATACTTACATTTCAAATCTATTTTTCAGCTATGTAGCGGCTATCGTTGTTGTGATTTTCTTTGAAACTCCATTTGTTGTTATCGAAAGAAAACTCTTCAAACGCTAGATTGATTCTTATACATTAAAACATCGAATTAAATCATATGACTACATATCATTAATCAACAATTGTTAGATAGTAATTCTCTGATCTTAGGAATGTTTGCATATTAAAAGTGACGTAAACAAAACATAACATATAAAATAATTCATATTGAATCCATTTCTTCAAGTAGGACAACTATGATGTTTGCCATTGTATTATGAAATTATTCAACAACACTGAAAAAAAAAGAGTAGAATGATAAACCTTTAAAACGTTTATCAGGATGCAACAGATAATATACCCTTTTCTATCATTTCTTCCATAAACTCAATTATATCATAAGTTTACTGATCAACGCTCATTCAATGAATGATTCCATCATTATCAATAATTGATATTCTAATATGCATTTGACGTATTATCTAAAATACAAAAGATAGTTAAAGAGATGCTTTACAAATCGATGAATGGCAGATCATTATAGTCTCTCTTTATATTATATGTTCTTCATTAGAGTAAAAATTCTTTTTCACATATATAACAAATATAAGAGAAAATAAAGAGCAAGATAATATCATCTTCGAACGATAAAGAAATAGATATTCAATATATGTTCCAAAAAATATGATGTGTAGAATAAAAACCCCTATGAAATGATTTGTAATCAGCCAATGAGAGTCATTTGAACTTAAATATTTTATTTTTGTTAACATTTCTCTTTTATACGTAGAAACGATTATTACGCCTATGGTTTGATCGTCGATATCGTCGACAACCATGGTCTCTGTATACAAAGATAAAACAGGTGGACAACTATCTGTCCACATACAAATATCCTTCGAATATAACAAGAATGCCACGGTCAATCATTAATTTTCATGTCTACAAAGGCAACGAGTTTAGATCTCTCTTATTGTTTGGCTTTGTAGCATTTAAATCCTCTTTACCTACAAAGTATTATAATCATTTTCTGCTTCTCGTTATTGCTACCCATCTTGTTGAATCACGATCAATCAATAGAGAACAAGTTGAATTAATTCGAGTATTGTATGAGCGATTTCTTCGTCTATTTCCTGTTTTGTACACACCACGACACAATGTACAGTGCGTACACAGTCTTCATCATTTTTCGGCTAGTGTGAGTGAATGTGGTTCAAGTAGTAATTATAGCACTTTCAACTTTGAAAGTGTATTGGATGGGAATATCAAATTATTGTGAAATAAAAAACTAAACGCATCTTTTTCCTATTTTATTTAGGAACACTAACAGGTTCAATTCATGCTACTCGACGTCATGGTACTGAAATTGAAAACAACATTCGAATACTACGTGAAGCATGTATTGAAGCTGAGCAATCTGACTTTAATCTTTCGTTACGTAGCTTTATAGAAAATATACACAGAACTAAACGAACAGTTATATGTGATTCTCGATCAGAAACTATTAAAACTCAAGTACGTGTTTGTACTCGAGATGCGGATCCTGTTGCATTGAAGCAAATACAAGAATCAATAAACAATAATAATATTGAACTATTTAAAACATGCTATGTAAGTCTGCATTATATAATGATGAACTAACAATGAATTCTGTTTTAGGTTGGCTCTAATCGATTTATCACTTCATCAAGTCATGAAGCATCCAAATTTACTGATTCTTGTATCTTATTTGTTGTTAATTGTAAAAATTAAGATTAGGTTTCATACGTCGTATTATTCGTATCAACTGCACAAAAGGATGTTCATACTTATGTCAAATGCAGCCAGTGACCATTAACTCATATCTTGATATTAATATAAATGGAGATAGTATAACTTGCAAAAACGTTCTTTTTGGTAATTTAGAATCGTACAACATGTACATGTACATCAAACCGGAACAAATTATTGAGAAAATTATTCATGTGTTTGAAAAACAGTCAAAACAATATATATTTTTTCGATTTCCAAATTTAGTTGAATCTTCATAATAAGTGAAATAAAGTAATTCAAAGTAAAATAACCTGTTCATAGAAATTGTTTTCCTCTTCAAAAACCAGAT